AGATCATGCAAAAAAGGAAGCTAAATTGCGGTAAAGTGTCCATTTCTTTTGGCGCAGTGAGGCAGCATTTAGAAAATATTTGTTCTAGATCTAACTACAGCACATCCGCAATTCTGGCATACTTTGAGAAATACAGAAAAAGTGCACAGGCATCAGAAGTTGTACGGTATCTTTAGTGCTACCGTCATAACGGATGCCAATTTATAGTCTCATTTTAACATTGGTTTTCTGATCTATTTTGTTTTCATTCTCTTTACTATCCCATATATTATAACAGCAGTAATTATTAACAGAATTGACTATTTTTTTAAAATTAATTCCTGCCAAAAATCAGACTGTATATCCGATCTTTCATGATCACCCGATATTATAAGAGTTTTTCAGAAAAGGAAATTTATGAGTGTCCACTTGTCGGATGTACTTTTTACACGAACAGTCTCAAAGAATATAGAGAACACAGGAAAACGCATGACGAACCATTTATTTACGAATGCAAAGAACCGAATTGTGGAAAAAAGTACAATCATAGTGGATCATTAGCCAATCACAAGAAAACAAAACATCATCTAAATATCAATGGGGAAACTGTAACAAACCATTCATTCGAAAGTACATCTTGAAAACACACATGGAGCAATGCTTCATAACTTCTCGTTAGTTTCGCAAATTTAGCAAAATTTCAAGCGCGTTTTTCCATCTGGAATAGCAGAATATACATGAAGGTGTGGTGAGAAACATTTACAGCCATGGATCAGGAAAGCAATATTCGATAGATATTCCGATACAAGAATGCATATCATTTGTCCCATGAGACCAAACTATAAAAAACCATTTGCTTTTCTGGTGCTATCAAACAACATTCAGAAAAAATTTTATTCTAGATCTAACGAAGGGAGAATCTCAATTCATCTTCATCTTCAATTCTTCGGCAAACATGAGAAATGGGATAGAAGCTAGGAAATCAAAAGCTGAGAATAAGAAGAATCAGAAGCTACGCAGTGTATTCGTTGTTATTATCAAAGTGTAGAACAAATTTATGATCACATTTTAATATTGAAATTTCTGATCTGTTTTGTCTTTACTCTCTTTGTTATCGGGTGGCATGAACTATTTGGTTAACAGCGATACGTTACAACTCGAAAATAAGTATCTCACAGTTATTTGAAATCCTGTTTTTCCATCTTCTTTTGGTTTTGCAAATGTCTGAGTTAACGATTTTCTTTAATCAAATTCTTCCCTCCAAATATCGCGCCTTTTCCTTCTACTCTAATTTTTTGATCCGAACAATGTAAAATTTTACTTGGTCACATCATATCATTATAATTTTTCTGCTACTCACACTTATAACTAATTGTTTGCAAATTTTCATCATGTGTAAAAGTAAGTAACAAAAATCCAACTAATGATATGGTGTTATTTTATTTGATCAACTTGTTTTTATAATCATTTCCTTGTGACTTCATTTTATTTTGACATAGATATGTAATACACAAATACATATCTTTAATTATCAAATGCATTAATTATTGATAAATAAATTACAACAACGAAGTGCCATTGATATGATAATGGATGGCAAATTAATTGAAAAAGAAATAAGCAAAAATTCCTACAGCAAGAATATGCAAATCATTCAGTACAAATATTGCATTAAAGAACACAGACAGGATTATTCAGTACTGTACAGATTAAAAATTCATTCAATCCGT